GCAGGGGTGGCCAACCTTTTGCATACCATGCGCCAATTTTTTGATAGACGAGTTCAGATGCGCAGTGGCGTACCGTGAGTGTTAGCAGCCCGGGGCGGAGAAAAATTTCGGCCACCCCTTATTTAGGTATTTCAATTTATAAGACGAAAATTCAGATTTGCCACAGAACAAGCAATGAAAAATGCAGTTGTAGTGTAGCTACCCGTATAAAATAGTTCTATATGGCATCAGTGGTGTACATGAACACGAATGCATTGTGTAACGTACAAGCAAAAAAAAAAAAAAGGTCAACGGGTCAATTGCACCGAATTGCGTATGCAATGAAGCCAAACCTGGCAATGTTGCTCGGAACCGACTGAAGCGCCACTTGTAATCGTCCAATGCGCCAAGTTTGGCACATGCGCCATGTTTTGGCCACCCCTGCTCTACTGTATCTTATATTTCTCAGTTATTTAAAACTTCTCTTGTAATTTTTTGCTACCAAAGCCAAAATACAGTGTTTTATTGATTAAATAAATTAAATTAATTTTAGCAATATATCTCTCAGATCACAGGTACAACTGAGTATTTTCAGATTATAATTTATTTTAAACAATATGTAAATTTATGATTTTAAAATAATCAAATATTGTGAATATAAAAAAATTACCTGCGACCTTCTCTTTCAGCCACTCTTCTAAGTTTTACTTCATCCTGGATAACTGATTTACCATCCAACATTTCTAAGTTTGATCCACGGAATCCTTTTGCTAATTATAAAATTTATGTACATGAATACATGAATAAACAATATAATACTTACTAAAACAATTTATAATTTTAAAAATTCAGTTATTTTATAAGTAAAAAATGTCTAATAACTCAAAAATGAATTACATATATAATTGATAATTAATTATATATATTATTTATTTATTTTACAAATTACATGTAATTAAACAAGGATAGTAATATATTAATCATATGCTTCTATTTCTAACATAAATGTGATCTAATAAATCTAATTTAATAGTTAAATGTAGCAAATTAACTATTTTTACTGTCAATTAAGTTTTTTATTTAATGCATATACAAGTATATCCTTTGCTTAACCTATCCCATATTGAAATTTTTTCCATTGCATGTTGCTCCAAGTTGGATTTTTGTCAATGTTAAGCCTAATGAAAATTCCACATTTTAGAAAAAAATAATTGTGGCTATTGTATCATCCAAAATTATTTTTTATTTTGCACAAACAAAATAGACATATTAATAAATGTAAAAACAAAAATTGGTTTTAACATAAAAATTATGCCGACTAGTGACATCTAGTTTCAAAAACATCAAATGAAGAAACAAGATATCTCAGGTCCACAGGTCAATGTCATTATGTTTCCACCCGAGATATGTCAGGAATACCAGGGAACAGGTTAATGCAGGATTTGATTAATGGACAAAATTAATTGCAGCAATCCCTTTATATACATGGCAGACGTTTTATTTTATGTGGCTTTACCAGCTGTCTTTATTTAACATAGATACCATATTTTGATTAATACAATTTTGATATACACAGTAGGATTGAGAGGGAACTAGAGCACACCAAGGACTATAAGGCAACGAAAGGGTGGATGCCCTTGCTAAGGAAGCCTCATCAAACCAGCACCAACCTATTGCCTACAACAAAATTAATCTTAAAACTATCAAGAGCATCCTGTGACAGGACCTAGTCATCTCTTGGCAGGATGACTGGGACAACAACTCCTCTATCACTCGTGATTTCATACCCGACTTCAAGGACTTTCTCACCTGCAAGTGGTATACTCCTTGCCACACTACTACACAAATGTTCACCAACCATGGCAGGTTCTTTGCCTACCTTGCTAGGGTTTAAGAACACCAACAGGCCTGAGTGCATCATCTGCAGTACTTCTGACAGTAGTGAACACTACATCCTTCACTGTCCCATGTTGGACTTGGAATGTCTACATCTTAGGATTCTCACTGTTGCCCATGATTACAGCTGGCCTCCTCATAGCCTCAATTGTTTTCTCAAACATAAGGACACATACGCTGCCCTCATGCAACTGATTTCTATGTAATTTAAAAGAACTACTGTTCCAGCTTTTTCTCGGTGATCTGTCATTGTTATTGTACACTGACACCCTCTCTCTCAACTGTGCAGCCTTATCCCTGTTTCATGTTTGCCTTTGTACATGCATTTTTCTCTCTGCATCCTGCTGCACAGGACTTGCATGCCCACTGTTTCATTTATCCTACTAATTGTACGGGTTTGCAATGTTTGTATATACACACTGTTGCTTGTCTTCTTTTGTTTGATTAATGTTGTCTCTGTACTTATTTTTATTATATTTTGTATTACCATCAATGTAACCCATTTATACTGCTTTTTTTAAGTATGTATGTATGTGAATTTACCTGGTTATGTTTTACGGCACCGGCTATGTACCTATGGTATGTTACAAATAAAAAACTGAACTGAACTGAACTGAACTGAGTAGGATTGAGAGATTAATTAACTGTGTTAATCAGGGGATACATATATTACATTAAACACTTTCATAAAAAAAGTAACCAAATAATTCTGAGAAAGAAGTAGGCCTACACTTTGCCATGAATCGCATGCTTCCTATTAAAAGCACTTCTACTGTGATGATGTATAATAATACTTTTTCAGAACTTCTTATTATTTACAAGAAAATATAGTTTTTAATCAAAATAATTATATCATTCTATTTTTAAAATTTTGCTGGATGTAAAAATTTTTTCCAATAAATAAAAAGATAATCAATTCCAAAAAATTTTTGTTAAAACTTTGGTCGATCACCTTTTGTTTCTGTTAAAATTTCAGGATAAACTTCAGCGACCGGACCTTCCTTTTTAGGCTACACGGTCGCCTACAAACAGTCCTTTAAAATACAGAAATAATCCAACTTAAGCATTAACATATACAAAGTCACTTGAGTCACTGCAGACTGAGTATCCCCACAGAAGAGTAACTGTCCACACATGTACATTAAAATTTATTGGAAAAAATTTTTACATCCAGCGAAATTTTAAAAATAGAAAAATTTTTGTAATAATTCACCACCAGGAGGAGAATACGGACAATTTACATTTAACAGCGCATCCCTTGAGTAAATATAAGGATCCGAAACTCCCGAATGGAAGAAGGATGAAAACCTAAAGACGTCAAAGGATCACCAATTCCAATTTTTTACAACTGTTTTTACAAGTTTTAATGCTTAAGTTGGATTATTTCTGTATTTTAAAGGACTGTTTGTAGGCGACCGTGTAGCCTAAAAAGGAAGGTCCGGTCGCTGAAGTTTATCCTGAAATTTTAACGGAAATAAAAGGTGATTGGCTAAAGTTTAAACAAAAATTTTTTGGAACTGACTGTCTTTTTATTTATTGGAATTATATCATTGTTATATATATTTAGTTTTAAAAAAGCACAATGTGATATTTAAGTCAAATAAAGTTTTTATAAATGTGATATATTACTAAAATGTACTTAATAATTATTAATTAATATTGGTTATTTTCCATTAATTATTAACTAATAATGGCTATTTTCTTTTTGTTGCATCCTTCAGCTGGCAAAGAACTTTGATCTGGGTACACCATATGTATTGTCTGGTCTGGAGAAGCAGGCTCATAGTGGACACACTCTTCATGATTAAAAAAAAAACCTATTAACATGGCCTTGACATCATTCTGACTTTGCCGTACCTCTTTGATGTGGAGATTCAAGCAGCACCCATTAGAAAGACTAGGACTAGTTTTTTTGTTTCAGGGTTATAACTATAAGCACACGACTCACATCCAGTGTTTTTCAGAAAAAAGGTTATGGGTCATTGTTAGTGTTTCAGGGGCCATATTCTGGTCACTGTCTCTGGTCTCTCGTCTCTTGCAAGCCAGTCGCCAATCAGCGACCAGCCTGCGAGAGACGAGACCAGAGACAGTGACCAGAATACGGCCCCAGGTCTGAATCTTTTTCTGATTCTTGCAGCCTGCATGTATTCCATATTTTCAGGTTTTCTGCTTGTCAAAGGACTTCTAGAACATGGATTGCTTTCAATGGATTTCTAATAATCTTTGATGTATCAGTACACAATTTTATTTGGACTTCACTCATTGAATCATCCCAATAGCTTTCTTAATCATTTAAATTTCTGCAGACAAATGCCCAAGTTTGAAGCAAAACTTGTTGCAGATTTTCTGATCAGATACATTCAGTCATTGTGAGTGTAGTGATCACATGGTATACAAAGTCACTTGAGTCACTGCAGACTGAGTATCCCCACATGTACATTAAAATTTCCTCTTAACCATAAAGTTTAATATTTACCCTGTAGAATGAACATTTGTCAGGTTCTAGTCTTTCAAATGTTCTACTTGTTCAAAAGACTTGAGAACCTAAAGAGGGGGCTTAAGACCACCAAAAACATTCATTCTGTAGAGTGAATATTGAACTTTACTGTTGGGAGTGTGGGTATATTACATAAGTTTAGTACTTCTCAAGTTAGAATAGTAGTAGTATTTAAAGTGCTTCATTATTTGTAAGATACCATGCTTTGTATAATTTCATAGTGTTTTAAAGACACTATGTTCTTCATTAAAATTTCAAAATTTATGATTAATTTATTTATGTGACAAATGACAAATCATTATTATTTTTGCATCTAATAATGATTAAAGTTCATTATTAATGAATTAATTGGATTATGTGTGATTTTTTCATTTCTGAAAATTTAATGAAAATTAAGTTACTAATCAAATACAGTAGATCCTGCTTAAAACAGGGGATGCACTCCTAGATGACAAAGCGCTAAACAAAACAGTATTAAACGAGGTCATTTTAACATAGAGTACATAAGGAAAGAAGAATATGCGACCAAAGATAAACAGATTTTACTCTAATTTTAAGTTATTTTTATATTAATTTGTATAATAATATATGTTAAATAACACAAACATATGCACACAGAAATGTAAAGTTCACTTTTTGTGATGAAGGTCCTGGCTCTTCTGAAATTCTTGTTTTTTGAGACAAAGTTGTGTAGTTTCATTTGTTGCTTTTTTTTCTTTCCTTAAGCAAATGTTGGTAACAGAAGATTGCATCCAAAATCCCTCATCTTGCTTTGTACTCCTTTCAAAATCTAGATAATTCACTACAATTTGATCAACAATTTCAGTTATTGTTACCAAACTTTTACTAAGGAAATCTGTAGAGAAATTCTTTGGGTTCTTCATTTTCGGAATCAGTATTTTCCAGTTCTACATGAATGAGCTCTGCCCATTCTTGAAGGTCGTCATTGGTAAGGCTCTCACGAAAAACCTGCAGTAACTCCTCAATATCCTGCTTGTCTACATCTCCTAGTCCTGCTGTATTGATTAGGTTGACAATTTGGTCAACAATAAGCTCTTCTTGTTGAGAATTCTTTGATACCTCCAGTCATACTTTCTTCCACACTCCATTCATGCATTTATCAGTTAATTCTTGCCAAACAAAGTCAATATTGCCTATGGCATCCACAATGTTATATTTTTCCATAATTGCACTAAACAAACATAGATTTAAGGAAAGTACAGCACTATGACGAATTGCCACCTTTTGCCAATTGCTTCGTGTTTGGGAATAATTGTATTATATACAAATCAATGAAATGCCACAATAATTTGAATCAGCGTAAATTTTGAGTTTTTTTTTTAAGGGGGCTTTGAGCAGACCATCAGCATCAATCAAGGCAGCGTTAAGCAGGGTCTTACTGTATTTTAACAATTTTAGTAATCAATTGTGTAAAAAAGTAAACTTTTAATATATTTATATGAAAATGTAATTAATTACTAAAAAATAACTGCACTCAAAGTCTGTCAAAATCCCAAATCAAAATAAACAGAATTTCTAAAAGATATCTAAAAAAATAACTTTTTAAAATGAAAAAAAAAAGTCACTTTTCTTGCTTTAATACCATGATGGCATTTATTCCATCTTTTTATTTAAATCAGCTTTTTTATTTGTGTGTGATAATTTCATCCTTACCTTTCCTAATCATTTCCAGCATTTATTTCAATACAATTATTCATGATAATTGCTATAATAGTTGTCAATTTAATAAAATTTTTAATTTCATTTAAAATTACATATATTTTTAAAACAAGTAAAACGGCAAAACCGTATTTGGGACAAGACTATATCTCAAGGCAGACAAGGACAAGACTATATCTCGTTTTCATTCTCCTATCTTCTTTGATATCACTGCTTTTGGGCACGATCATTAAAATTTCGCCTGCCTCGACCTCGAGGTCGTCCACAAGCCATTTTCGGTGAATGTTCTGTCAGAAAAATTTACTAAGAAACTGATAATTTACTTAATTTGTATCGGCAGCGCGATATTTACAATAGCGTCAATATATAATATAAATCCAAGATCACACTGCTGTCGACTCAAAAGGTCAATTAACGTGAAGTGAAAAAATGTCTCTCCTACCTTGTCCCTGATGTCCACATTGACCTTGACCACGTGTTCTGTGTCTTTTGTTCTGTCGTTAAAAATTTACTAAAAAACTGATAATTTACTTAATTTGTATCGGCAGTGATATTTACAACAGCGTTGATATATAATATAAATCCAAGATCAGCACGGCTGTCGAATCGAAAGTTAGTAGAAAGATGTCTCTCCTCATTAGAGTTTAGGAGAAAAGTGAGATCAAAGGGCAAAGGTCACGTGCAGGCACGCTCAGTCCTAAGGTCAGAGTTCACTTCTTAGAATGACTGCGGGTGGTACTCTCCCCTACCTGAATTCGGTGGCTGTTTTGCCTGTTTGTAGAAGAGGGTCACCATTTTGGATTTTATTTTGACTCGATTCTCAGTCCCGACTACCTATGAGTCTGGATTTTTTTTTATACGCAAATCATTTGGGCACCTAATACTCTGTACCAAATATCAACTCTCTACATGTACTCCTTCATACCTCTACGCTGATAAGAACATGAGGCAGTACGATTTTATAAACAAGACATAGTCTTGTCAACAATAGACATAATATTACTTCTATGCAAATGTAAATTAGTTTTCCTTGGTATTTTATTATTTTTTCCACAAAAAATAGTTATCAGATATTCAGTGTGTATTAAATAACAAGAATAAACTATAAGAAATCTAAACAAAAAATAAAATGTACACAAAATTTACATCACTTCAAATACATATGAATTTGTTAATGTATCTTTTAGAATTGTAAGTTAAAACTATTTACCTACTAAGATAGTACTTTCACTGAATATTTTTAAAAATTCAGTGAAAGTACTATTAAAAATGATTTCAAATCTAATATATGTACATTTATTTTATTATCAATAAATGACATTAATGAAAGTTTAAAATAATAAACAAATAAATAAAACATTTAACATTGAAAATTATTATGAAATTCTTTACAAAATAATTTATATACTGTTTCATTGTATTGATATAATAAAAACTGAAATATACTGTATTACTAATATACCTTATTACTAATATAATTTATTAAGATTTGTCAAAATGGCAACTGTAACTTCTTCCTTGTAAGATATATAAAAATTATATTCATCATTCTCAAAAAACTGTTAGCAGAATAATTATATTTGTTATGTGAAGTAAAATATTAAATATCAATATATTATTATTTTTAGAAAAGGACTTACTAGAAATTATGGAATATTCATCAGCTTGATCTCTAATGTCTTGTTGTCGTCTTTGAACAAATTTTTCTGCTCTGGCCTTCAACAATTCATTCATTTGTTTTTCTATAATTTCAATTTTTGCAACCTAAAAAAAAAAACATAATTTGTTATGATTTGTATAAGATATGATAATAATTATATTACATGAACTATCATTACTTAAGAATCCCTTTTCAATTGAATTTTTAATCTGCAATTTATTTTACATAAAAAAATTTTTTTTTGTAATAACGAAGTTAGGAAATATGAACATTCAACTGATCAACAATATTGAAAAAAATATTAATAAATTTTCACTTTCTTTTAAATTTTATTTTAGAAATAAACTATGAATTTGCAGATTATTGTCAACTAGATTATTTAATAATTCAAACATTCAATTAAGTTTATATAATTTTATTTGATTTATTATAAAAATGAATAAAATAAGTAATTTCAACTGTTAAAAATTTTGCAAACTATGTTTATAAATTTCTATGCATTTGGAGCTAGAACTATTTTAATATGACCAAGACAAAACCTTTCTCCCTTGTTTCTAGCTGTTTATACACGAGTACAAACGTTTTTGGCCTTCTTCAGTTACACTGTGGTAGAGCATCCTAGAGTTCTACCACAGTGTATCTGAAGGCCAAAAACGCTCATACTTGTGGATAAACAGCTAGAAACAACTGAGAAAGGTTTTGTCTTGGTCATCTATGTTTATAAAATGTTTTTTTATAGAATTTTATTTATTATTTATAAAGGAAAATACACTCATTACCATAAAAATTAGCACACCAAGAAGGAGTTGTCAGAATCAAACAAAATTGTGTGTGTGTGTGTAACTGTGATATAAGTACCAGGTTGTTCAATAAGTTTTGTCGTTTGATAAGAGATGGTGCTATTAGGATGTCACTTTATTACTCTATAAATAGTACTACTATTTCTTAAACACATGTCAAGTTTCAAGTAGATCCGTCAACTCATTGTATATTTGCAGCTGTTCAAAGTTGACTTGTCACTGTATTTTTTACAATGGAAAAAACTGAATATTGTGGAGTGATAAAATTCTTATTTTTGGAAGGTGTAGCACCAAAACAAATTCACGAACAATTGTTAAAAGTGTACAAGGACTCTTCACCTTCAATTAGAACAGTAGAAAGGTGGGTTGCTGAATTTAAACGTGGTCGTATAAGTCTTGAAGACGATCCACGTGAAGGACGTCCAAAAAGTGCATCAACACCAGAAATCGTAGCAAAAATACAGCATATGGTTTTGGAAGATCGTCAATTAACCAAAAGTAGAAGCCCTAGGGATTTCGTTAGGCAGTGTGAGCAATATTTTGGCTGAAGTTTTGGGTTACAGAAAGCTGTGTGCACAATGGGTGCCACATTCGCTAATTATGGAACAAAAACACATTCGAATGCAACTTTCTCAGCAACATTTAGAGCGTTTTAGAAAGGATAAAAAGGATTTTGTGCATCGTTTCATCACTATGGATGAGACTTGGGTCTACCACCATAATCCTGAATCAAAACAAGAGGCTAAGGAGTGGTGTGAACCCCCTACTTCGGCTTCAAAGTGAGTTAGGGTCCAGAAATCAGCCAAGAAGGTGTTAGCATCAGTTTTTTGGGATGCAAAAGGAATTTTGTTTGTGGATTACCTCCAAACTGGTAAAACAATAAATTCAGATTATTATTGTAACCTTTTGGACCAGCTGCATGTAAAAATTGGTGAGAAAAGACCTGGTTTAAAAAAGAAAAAAATCATTTTTCATCAAAACAACGCACCATCTCACACAGCTCAAAAATCATCGCGAAAATCAGTAAATTAAAATACGAATTGTTGCAACATCTCCCTATTCACCAGATTTAGCTCCCTCTGACTTCTGGCTGTTCTCACATCTCAAAAAATTCATGCACGGGAAACCGTTTTCATCAAACAAAGAGGTAATAGCAGCCATGGAAGCCTATTTCGACAGTCTTCCGGATTCTCACTTAAGGGATGGAATCCATAAATTAGAAGATCACTGGAACAAGTGTATTAAAGTTCAGGGAGATTATATTGAATAATAAAATGTATTTCAAACCATAAAATCGTGTTTTTCTTATTGAACGACAAAACTTATTGAACAACCTGGTAAGTGATTACAAAATGAAAGCAAAAGTATCATTGATTGCAGAAAAAACTACAAATGAAAGGAGGTTCTACTACCCTGTTGTATGAATACATAATGTGATACAGGCATGCATGGAGGCATACAAGTGCCATATGGTGTCCTGCGACATCTCAGTCCACAGTTGCTGTAAGTGGTCCTCTAGTTCAGCCAACTAGACTGCAAACTCCTAGGCTGTCCACCTTGGGATCCCAGGTAATCCCAGATATGTTTGATCAGTGACAAATCAGGGAACCAGGAAGGCCAGGAAAGTATAGCAATATGATGGAAGCAGTCCTGTGACAACTTTGCTGTGTGAGACCAAGCATTATTCTGTTGGAAAATGGCTCTTGGAAGTCCTGCCATGACAGGCAACATTTGTTGCTGCAGGATATCTACTAGAACTGACTGACAGTTGTATGTGATGGCGCCCCAGACCATCACACCAGCTTGGGGGCAGTGTGCCACTCTAAAGTGTAGGTAGGATTGAGGCATTCACTACAGGCCTCCAGATACAAACTTGGCCATCGTCAGTTCCCAAACTGAATCTAGATCTAAATCACTGTAATCACTACTCACTAGATCACTAGAAATCACTAGTCACTAGAATCTAGATCACTGTAGATGATCCAGTTCCATTCCATTGTAGTACAATCCCATTGGGAGCAACATCATTCCAAATGGATTTGACAGTGGGAGTTGTAAATGGCAGCAGCACATATAATAGCTGCAGCAATACCAAATGTTCCTCACCCAGGTATCTTGAAATGGTATGGATAGACACAGAAGTCTGTAATGATGGTGCTACCTGTGTCTGGAAAGTGGATAACAATACGATCGACTGAGTGTATGCTTGTTGGAAGACCAAACAATCCTCTTGTTCTGCTGAGGGTGTCCTGAGCATCGGAGCCATGTGTGCAAGCTCTCTCATCCGCTGGTTCCAACATCTCCTCAGTGTTGTCAAAATGGTCTAGGTGGCAAGCTATTCAGCAAGATGACCATCTGGCTTCTCTCAACCTAATGATTCTTCTTTTGTCAAAGTCAGTTAGTTCTTCATATGGTGTCTTTGATTGCAGCATAAAAACATCTCTAGTGATACAGCATCCCTCTGAAACAGGTAAATACACAAAAGATGCCTTTGCATGCCTTTTTTTATAGGCCAAGCAGGACACATTTTAACATCCTCTGTTGGCATTATGCAAGAAGCCATCATGCTATAACTAATTATTTCCATAATTGCTTAAGACTTATTTGCATGCCAAGTTTCACAGCTATATGACAACTCCTTGGTGTGCTAAGTTTTATGGCAATGAGTGTAATTTGATTCATATATTAATGATTTTGTATAAAAATAAAACAGTAATATCCAATCATAATTTAATAAATTATTATCACTAATTTTTTTTCTAAATTCTTCCTAATGTAGTCATTAAGACATCAATTGTGTCACTTATAAAATTTTATAAACTATTGGCTTTCTTATCATAAACTAATCCTACAATTTACTTCATTAGTACTAACGCTAATATTTTAACCTTAGATTCAATTTTAATGAATTTTAAGATTAAAATATTTATATTTCTTTAAAATATTAAATAAAATTTCACTACAGTTTATTATTAATAAAAATTTAATATTAATTTAAATGTAAAAATAGAACATTATTATTATTTTTACATTAAAATTAATCATTCTTGTAGACATAAAATTTGCTTATAAAATTTGATTGTTATCAATTCTAAAATTTTGCTATAAATTAAAATAATTAGACTTTTAGATTTTTATTTCATTTTCATTAAATATAAAACTAAAATTATATATTTATTATATTATATATTCTAAATTTGCTTCTTTTATATTTGAATCACTCTTTATTCCATTTTGAATAATAATTTTTATACAAATTTAAAAAAAGAAACAAAAAGACAGTAATATTCAAATAATCAATTCAGATAATATAAATGTAATAATATAGCAAATCTCATAATTCATCTTTTTTTAGATTCTCATTAAATATGTTTAACAAAAATTGCATACTTAAATTTACTAATTACAGTTTATAAAATAAAAGAAACAGAACTTACAGTCAAATCTCAGTTTTCAAACATAATTTGTTCTTAAAAGTTGTTCTAAAACCAAAACAAATTTTTCCATAAGAAGCAATATAAAATGGATTAATCTGTTCCCCGATCCCGAAAATAAAGCCTTTTTTAAATTTTTTTAGCTGTATTTCATGCACAAAAATACAATGTAGCATTATATATAATAAACTTTTGTTATTTAATTTAACTTAAGCACCTTTAAACACAAATTTGTGGAAGCCATTTATATTTTATGAATGTCAATTAATGCAGTTTTTATTAATTAATTTGATTTAAATTCAACTGCAGTGTATACCGAAAAACAGAAATAGTATCTTTCTTTCATGCACATTGAAATCTAATTTAAATAGCATCATCATCAATGATTCATAACATCTAATGACATGCCAGTAATTTCTGAATGAGTAGTCCTGTTGTTGATTGGTTGGGGTGTTGACTTTTTTTAACATAGGAAGTATAGGATTTGACAATCTGTCCCTCTCTAATCTGTGGTCGACTCTTGACAAGTAGCTTGTTCAGTACAAAAGTCATTGTACAAAAACTGAGACAATTATGTGTTCAAAATTCTGTTCATGAACCAATTTCTTTGAAAAGTGAGTTGTTCAAAAACCAAGGTTTGACTGTATAAATTATTTATATTTAATTTCTTGTTACTGTTTAGAAGTTTCTCATATATATTTTTATGTATAGTAGTTATTCATTATTTTAAAAAACAGTGTCTCCATCATAAAAAATTATAACCAGATTACAAAGTAACATAAACCTACTTTTAAAAAATTTTGATAAAAATGGCCATGCATCTTAAGTGCTTTCTCTGTACATGCCCTAAATAATACCAATCATATAACTGAATAATTAATAATTAAATAATTTAGAGAGTGAAATAAAAAACTAATTGAAAATTAGAAAATTTAAAAACATCCAGTAATTCAGTAATTTGTCAAGTATGTAATTGATTGCAATAAACTCCTTAATAATTACCAATATAAAAGCCATCGTGTGTTCTGGTGGAAAATATAGGCTACTTATTTTGTGTAAGTATTGGCTATAGAGTAAATGTTTTATCAATTTTGGATAAGTGATTGCACTTACGTTGCAGTGACATCAGTGATCACATGACCTTCATGCTTGATGAGGAATTTTCCCTTAAGTTGCATTTTAAAACATTTTGGCAAATGTTGTATTTTAAACTTACTTCATTAAATTTAAAATTTAAACTTTAAAAACAATAGCCTCATCATGTCACTTCTACAAGGTGTTCCAAAAAAAATGTATTCACTCTTTGACTGACCATTACTATTAATAATATATTAAGTTTTGATTTAAGTGTTTATTGACATGAATACAAATGTAATAAGTTAAATTAAAGAAAATTTAATTGAGACATTGCCTTCCAATTTCTTCTTGAACTAATATCTTCTATTGGATTGATAAAGAGTGAGTACATTTTTTGGGACACTGTGTATAACAATTAAAAAAAAATCTTTCTATAGTGACCACATGACTTTCTATTATTCAATCAAAGTAATGATCTAACAAGCCCATTATTTAGAAAGTGTTATCACTCATCTAATTAATATACTGTGTGTACAATTCATCTTTGTTTTATCAATGTGGCATTAAAATGACACTATTTTGTTGAAAAAGATGCAAAAAGGAAAGCATAAGAGTAAAATTGGTCAGGTAAATTCTAGATCTAAAAGAATAAGAACTGAGACCCCTGAAGGCTGTGAAGTCCAACTTGAGCAATATTGAGTAAGAATGGCTTTGTCAAGGGCTGCAGAAACAGCATCACAACATCAAGCTTGAATTGAAACTCTTCTCAATTCTTCAATCTCTACTTTCTCATAAAAAATATTCCATTATACTTGATAGAAGAATTTCTAGTTTTTATATAGAATAACTATGGAGGACCAATTACATATAAATATATATATACATATAACAGTACTTTTAATGTATCTGGTTTGTACGTAATAACAACACAGTTCATACAAGCTAGAAACTTAGTTAAATAGTTTAGCTTCTTTATTTTCCTGTTAATTAGAAATAAATTGATATAACAAGCTTCTTAAAATAAGCATCTAAAAATATAACTCATCATCTACAGTAATAAACAAATATTTCAGTGCTTTTAAATAAATTCTGATTGTGTTTTTAAAGAAGTATTCATATTTAAATATACAAAACTGCACTTAAATATGAAATATTTTAATTAATAAATATTAAATTTAATAAAAGCTGAAGTTTTAATTTAATTACTGCTTAAATGCTTTCCAATTTAATTATAACTCTTTCTACATATTTAGATATTTTGATTATATTTATAAAGTTTTAAAATTCATCTGTAACATTGTCTAACCAGAAATCAGTTAATAAATAATAAATAAATTTAGGTTCAAACAATTCTCTCATTATAGAGTATTTGGTCCAATCAACTATTTTATCTATATGGATTTTTTTAATGTAGTAACTGTAAAAAGGACTGTAAAAAGAAAAGACTTACTTTCTACAGTTATAGTCAATTACTTTTATAAATTTTTCATACTTTAATTTCTTAAGATCCAAATAATTTAAGATAAAACTGAATTTTTATAGGTGCTATTGCTAATAAATTTTACTTTTTGTTTATACTATATATTTTCATAAATTATGATCTCATTACTGATGGCAGCAGTATTCTTTAAATTTAAAATCACTGTTTTACTAGCAAATTAACTATGAAATCAATTTCCAGAATTTTAAAAACTACATAAATCCAAATGAACAGAATTGGATAATTTTAGTAAATAATTTTATGCATACTAATTAACTACTAAAACTAAATATTAATACTAAAATAAATACTAAATCTTAATTTTATAAAAATTTCTAAAATTTAAAACTTTTTAATTATAAAGAAATCAATTCTAAGTAACAAAAATAAATACAGCAGTTTCATAAATTTATTTATTTTCAAATACGGTAAATTCAAAGAATATTATTATTTTGAAGCTGATTAATTTAAATGTCACATAAATGCAATTTCTAATTAGACTATAATAAAGTGTTTATTTATTTAAATTTAGTTTATTTGGACATTGAGATTTTAGATGAAAAAATATTTAAAAAGTGCCAGCAATATGTCTAAAAAATTTCAATAAGCAGTTAATACATAACAACAAAACAATAAAATAAAATAAAGATTAATATAAAAGCAACATTTATCCAAATAACATTTTCCATGAAAACTGATAGTTTACATAGATATCCGACTATTCAACAATAATTTAAATGATAAATATCTATAATATATCTAATCCTACTTCTACAATAAAATGCACAAAAAATTAGTTTTTATTTTTTCATCAAAAACAAAATTTTGATTTTGTGATTTATTTTAACAATTTTTGAAAACAGTAACCAATATTTTACATGTTATTCTCAACAACTGTTAAAATAATTTAGCAAATCAAAATATTGTTTATGATGGAAATATTTTATGTACAAACTTCATATTTGAAATAAATTTTCATAATGAAATCATCACCACCATAAAGTATAATTCCACAATTACAATTTCCAGTCCAAATGTGGCTTAATATATTAATGTCTAATGTTCACAAATCAATCAATCAATCATAACAGCAATCTAACAGTTTATATTTACTGCCCTCCATGAATTAATATAATTACTGTTTAATTCAAATTTTGAAAAAGTTATCAAATAATAGCAATTACATTCAGCTATCTTTAATCACTAATTATTTTTGTTTTAGTGTCTTTAATGTTAATAATTTAAAAGACACCCTCCCAAAACAATAGCAACTAAAATCAGAAGGCAGAAAATGATTGAAGCCCAAACCCAATTAAGTGCCTTTATTTCTCAGCATCATCTATAAAAACCCACCTTTAAGTCGAGACATTCAACCAAGTCTGTGACATACCCTCGCATCTGTTGATATAGAGAAAAGCGGCTGGCAAGCAAAGGACCCTCCTTCTCCAGTTGATTGATTAGATCATACGAGTTGGCCAAACGGGTGTTGCATGAGTCATCTTCTCGCTGATGATTGGCATACATTTCTTCTAGAGCAGATAATCTTAAAATATAAATTTTTTTATGAAATAACTGTAAAAAATTTTTTTTCCTACATTATAAACTCATAAATGAGGAGTTCTATGGAATAAAGTATCTAAGTTAAATTTTTATGCTTTCAGGGATTCTCAAAAACTGTTCTTTTTCCATGAGGTTTGTTATGAAGTGAGAAAAGTTTAAATGTTAAATACACTCGATTAAAGTGCATATTATAGTAAGGAAGAATAGCCATATCCATAAAACCCTACTTGATGTGCATAATAAAACACTGAAAAAGGCATCTAAGTGCACTCAGGTATCTTATTAATAGAACACCTCAAGTACTTAAATATCAAAAATAATTTTCTTATATATAATGTCATTTATATATAAGAAAATATATGTGGACAAGATGAGCAATAAACATAATAAACTTGTGAAGTAGTAGAAAAAAGTAAATGAAAAATGAGCATTTATTTATTATGATATCACCACAATGCAATTTTTAATCATCTTTCAACTTAAAAATATCACATGAACTTCCAGACTGGAAGTTCATGTATTGTTAATGGGGGTCTCCAGTCTTTAAGCTTTCCATATCTGATCTGGATTGTAGTTGTGTCTTGCCCATGTACATAGTACTTGTCCTGATAACAATCAAGCTGTGCCAGTCATCTATCTAATTCCACTCTTGAGAAAATTTTGAATTGAAATCATGTGATTTCTGGTCCAGACCATAAGTTCATATATAATTAATCAGGGCCTCTAGCAGCTAAGTTTTTCATATCTAGTCTCAACTTACATCTATCTAACATTCTTGCAATTAGCAAAAAACAGATGGACAAATGGATGATAGTGGAAATGTATAAGCATTCCCACTGTCATTTGAAAATTGCAACCCAAAAATTATATAACCATTATTCCATTAAACAAATTTAAGCAAAACTTATAATCTGAAATATAGTCAAAATTATATGTATTTGTTAGATGACTGGCTTTAGAACAATAACATTCAAATATGCAAATTTACAAAAAAATATGCCAGTAACAATAAACATTCAGAAATGCAAATTATGTAATTTGATAAAAGAATCAACTAAGCCCGTGATTCATCTCTGACAATTCTGTCTACTTTTATTTTTGGATACAATTAACAGGCATTAAAAACAATTCTAGATGAATGAACTTTTCCTAAATCTCATGGATAATTCATATTTATATAAACATATATACATATAACATTTTAAATATAGAGTTTCAATATACATTGTACAAAAAAAATTCTAATTTTATAGAAAATTAGCCAGTTATATCAAAAGAGAAAAATAAAATTAAAAAAATCCAGTAAATTTTTTAAAAGCAAGGAAATAATAAGATGAAAAACACAGCAGTTAATTATAGTATTTAAGATAGCAAATGATAATTTTAGCAATCCAGACTGATGAAATATGTGAAGCCAATGACCAACTGAGATATTAAAATTGTCATTCATGGAAAAACAGCCCAATACTCTCATCATTGAAATCAATCTTGCCCAACAATTGACAATTTTGAAATATTTGTGGGATAGTAATGCTGAAGACCCAAAGTTTTACATAATCCTGCATCCTATCCAATAATGAAAATGAAATCAATTCTGAGTTAAATATTGTTGAATATGCTTATTTGAGAGTTAACAATTCAAAATCATCATGTATAATTTGATTTCTTTTATCATTCAACAATTTCAATTAATAATTAACATTCATTAATGGGTTATCTTCATACTTTAGATATTATGGAATTTTTATGGTCTGTTATTTAAATTCAAATCTTTACTTCATTTATTCCTTTTGGCATTTCAAAATAGTATTACAAGTGAAGTGCAAGGCTTCTATATTATCTTACAAATATTCAAAAACTGACATCTAGTGGCTAGAATAAAATCAAAAGCAAATTGTTGACGAATTCAAATTCTTCAAAAAGCATTTATTCCAGAGAATCTGAATCTATTATATAGCAGTTAATCTTTAAATGTCTTAATAATTTGGATTGTTAAATGATATTTGAATTAATAAATCATTATCCATACTTTTATAATTGGAATTTTCAACTATTATCTAAATTTTAATCATCATCCAATAACAGGGAAAAAAAATTATTCTAAATAATAATTTTGTAGTACTTTTTTTAAAAATATTAAAAGTGATCTGTTTGCATGTAAACATTTATTAGATTCTAAAATGCATTAAATAATTGTTTTACACTTTCTGCTATGTTGTTCTGTTCTCAACACACCTAGAATAAAACCTCTAACATATAGGATATATCATAATTTTTCATATGTTTTTATGAATATACTGTATTTTTCAAATAACTTAGTTAATTTACTTTAGCTAAGTTTACTTTTTTTTTCTGAATGTTAAAAATTACATTTTTTAATTTAGTAATACTGTATGTTTTTTTCTTTACTTGCCTTTCAAGTCAGAAAACTATTTTTACATAGAGTTTCATATGTCCTACATATATAATTTTTATTATACTATTGTTTGTTAATAACATCTTTAAATATATGTTTCATTAATCCTAAGATTAAATATATTTTACCTTTCAGAAAGCCTGGACTTAATATCATTAACTGTTAAATCCTTTCTTTCACGTGGAATTGAAAGATTTGCCAATCTACTTGGTGGTTTTGACTCTGTATTTGATGTAACTTTAACTGTTTTGTCATTTTGTTGATTATATCCAAATATCCTGTCAGTATTTGTTTGAAGCTGTTGTTGTATCTAACAAATATTGAAAACAAGTTAATTTTATTAATTACAAATTTAATAATTTTAATTTATTAAAACATCATATATATTTAAACAGTTATATATTTAATTATTTCAAATTAATTATATAAAATAATTAATTATTATAAATGGGATTTGATACAACCCAAACATTCTTTTCTTTTCAAATATCAATACAGTAGAGAGTCGTTTATCCGAATCAATTGGGGACTGGGGTTGTTCGGATAACTTATTTTTCGGATAACCAATTATGTACGAAAAAATATATTAATTTATCCCGTGTTGAAATTTTTCTCCGTTGCGTGTCGCTTCACGTTGAATTTTCGTCGATGTTAAGCCTAATGAAGACTACTGTATTGTTAAAAATTATTTTTTTATTTTGTACAAACAAAATAAATGTATTGAAAAATATAAAAACAATAAAAATTATACTCCAGAAGTTAATTTAGTATCAAAAACGTAAAATATTTGAGTAGCCGAAGACATAGCCAAAGATTACAGCGCCACAGCACTGGCGAAAATTTAAATTTGTCGACTGGAATTCCTTCAGATAACCAACCTTCGGATAAACGATGCTCTACTGTAGTTAAAAAATTAAATGCAATGATGGGTTTAATGTGTCGAAATCATTTGTACCAGAATAAACTGTTACATCTAACTGATATAACAAAACATTCTGCACCAAAATTCATTAAAAATAATCTTTACTTATGAGCTAATTTACCAATACTGACTTTTTATACAATCAGTAATTATACAAATTAGAATTACAGAAATTTAAAAATCGATAAAAATATGATTAATCAGAGTTAGCATAATTAATTAGTATAAATTTGATAAAGAAAGAGACCTTAATAATATTTACAATGATTCAGATTATTGTAAATCTAAAATTTTTAATTCATTTTCAGATACCACAGACTGCTTTGTCGTGCTTTATAGCTTGGTTTTTAAACATATTAGAGATGTTAATCATTTATATAAAATGTTACAAATTATAAAAATTTGTTTAAAAAAATTTATGTAATATTTTTTATCAAAACTCTTCAGTTATAATTTCATTAGTTTTGTGGTATTCAATATTTAACATCTTGTTTATATAAACAAGTAAGTAAAAGAAACTTCCTGAAGAAAGTTGTCAAAATATAACATAGTAATGGAATTAAAATGATTTATTATAAAAATAATAACTTCATAAACTACAGCATAGAAAACATTATAAAATGCAATAAAAATCAATTAACTCAGTCTGACTCGAGCAAGTTTCATAGCGTTACGCAAAAAACGGTCGTTAAGGCCACTTTTGAAAAATTTTTTTTTTGAATTTTTGGAATGTTTTTTAGGTCCCCAAATTTTTTCAGAATTTTTTTCCCGCGTGAAAAAATTTTATCACAATTTTAATCAACCTTTAATGACGCACGCTTCACGCTTTATTGCTTTTTAATGTTTTTTTTAATGTTTTTTTAATGGGAGTTTTTTATCAAAATTAATTAATCGTTCTAAAGTTGTAATGCACCGATTTTCCTTCGGTAAAGTTATTTAAAGCTGCTTTCTGATGTCAAAAACGACCTCCGATAGTTTTTTAATTTTTTTAATTAATAGATTTTATTATATATATGTTTAATTAATTAGGGGGGGTCGGAAATCGCAATAAAAATTATAATTTTTTAAAAATATTTAAAAATATACCGCCAGATTGAATTCACCCTACTTTAAACCCTTGTCCTCCCGCGACGTCTATGAGAATGTTCCGGGAAATCCGACTCCAGCTGTGTTCAAGGTCATCCAGATATGTAAACAATAACTCATTGGTGTTAAATTTCACAGAAAGGCAGGACAAAGGAACTTAAATGATGAAGCTTTTTAACCAAAATTAACGCATTTCTTTCCTTTTTTTTCAGTTTTAAGTATTTTTTATGTTTAATTAAAAAATTTTTTAAAAAAATGGACAAGAAGGGGTTAATATATTTAATAAATTAATAGTAATGAACAACATTAATTTTTTTTAAAATTATTTAAAATTAGATTGCATCTCAAAAACCAACATACCAATAAACTGGACAGATACTAAATTATTTCCAAAGGAAAAACATAAAGGAAAACCTAGAAAAGTATATTTGAAAATGTGCAATCTTTATCTGCTAGTTTCCATAACAAACTGTGTATTTCAAGGTAGAAAATAGTCTAAAAAAAGATGACTGATTCTGCTTTGTAATCTTGTATCTAGTAATATGAAAAATATGAATTATGGAGAATCTAAAATGGGTTTTGTTTTCTAATCTAATATATAATCAAGACGGGTTGATGATGATGATGATGATGATGATGATGATAATGATGATAATAATAATAATAATAACAGCCACCGGTTTAAACCGAGTATTACCCNCGCACAGTAAGAAGGGATTTTTCGAAATTCCCCCAGGGGAGAGAGACAGGATAAAGGTTTTGACAATGGAAGTGTTAAGTAACAATGGCATTGTTAACAATGGACGTATCAACAATGGCATTGTTAACAATGGACGTATCAACAATGGCAGTGTTAACAATGGAAGTATCAACAATGGAAGTGTTAAGAGAAAGTGACATGCAAGATTTACAGGCACAGATACAGTTTTTTCAGTTTTGTGGGAAATCGAACACTTTTTTAACCTATATAAAAATTCTCTAATTAGTCTGGAAACAGTGGGACCTAAGTCTTGCATTCTTTGAAAATGGGTAAGATTGACTATAACGTAATAAACTTAATCTTCGCTATCGTTACTTTTTGCCCGAGCAACGCCGGGCCTATTTGCTAGTAATAAATAATTTTAGTAAATTATGTATTATTTAAGTATTTTATATTATACAAAGTTTAATAAACTTTTATCTGAAGTCTGATTAAACTTCAATATAAACAAAAATATTAAAGACTAAGCTTTTACCTTTTTATCTATAAGCATTTAAATGTATAATTTAATTTTAACTACTTAATCTACAGTAGTTTATATTGTATATGTAACATCAAATAACAAATGTTACAGATTCAATATACAGTGGTGCCTCGTATAACACACTTAATCCGTTCCAGGTGCATGTCCGTTAAGTGAAAAGTATGTTATACGAAACGCATTTTCCCATAGAAATACATGTTAAAACACATAATTCGTTCCGCAGCATAAAATAACCATACTGTACCATTAAAAAAATGAAAATGGAGCAGTCACCAATTATGCTGGATAGTCAGATGTTGTGAGGAGGAGGTGGAGGAACACTTTCTTCACACATTCATACAGATACAGACTTTTTACACATTGCAGCAGGTCTCTTTTTATTGTTTTTTAATCGGAGTCAGATTCAGGAGAGGCTACTGGAGCTTGCAGGGTCAACTCCTCTTGTTCCATCCTTTGTTTTTTGCCTGCTGGCTTCTTGAAAAACATGTCCAAGGTGGTCTGTTTCTCTCTCTTCTTCAACACCTGTCGGAAATGATGGGCAAGGGTGTCATTGTAGAGATCATTGATCCTGTTGGCCTCAGCTCTGTTTGGATAATGAGTGTTGGTAAACTCCTGAACCTCTCCCCATTTGACAAGGAAGTTTTTGTCAACTTTCACTCCTTCTGATGATTTCTTGCATTGTTTCAATTGAAATCACCTTTCTGTTTTTTTAGAAGCCGTGATTTGCACAACACTTGAATAAATGTAAATACCCTGCACTGAGGTGATGTACGTAATAAACAAGGGAGCAAGCCAAATCCCAACGGGAGCTCTGTACTTCAGATATACTAATAATATATTCTAATAACCCTAATATATTATAAAAATAGCAGATTGTCATTGGCAACGGCAAAAGAGTGAAAATATCATTCACACTTGTTCGCAGAAAGTTTGTTGTTCGCCTCACGTAACTGCCAAACGGAAAGTCTGTTGTTCGAGTCACGTAACGGCCAAACTGAAAGTCCGTTGTTTGCAGTGTCCGTTATTCGAGGCCTACGTTATACGAAGCACCACTGTATTATTGACAATTCTCAAGTTTCAGAAGATTTAAAATAAATACAACTTCACCATAAATGACCAAGAATTTAGGTGTAATTTGTGAAGATTTAAAATATGTCACTATTTTTAAATATATATATATAAAATATCTTCAATTCTTCTCACCTGAGTCATGCTCACACCTTTACGAATCTGTTCACGTTCCCAGCGTTCAAGTTCATCTGCTTCTTCATTTTCCATTTCATTTTCTTCTCCTTTATTGTATGTGATAAAAATAGTCAAATTAATAATTCAAGTTATGTTTTGTCACTAACAATCTACCCAATTTAAAGGTTTGTTTTTTAAATAATAATATTGTATAAAAGCAATTTAAAAACACATTCATAAATGATAATAATAATATTTTTGTAATTATGTATATGTAATAAATAAGACTTAATTTTTAACAAGATTCAGAATTTTTAGTTTTGATTGTTAAAATTTATGAATAACCATTAGTTTTTCAACATTAAATAAATGACTTAATTTGACTTATGTTATCTTAATTTGTTTTTTGTTTCATTTTCTGCATTTTTATAAATTTATACTATGGTTTACATTGATGTGAATCATTAATATATTAAATATGGAAAAATAATTAAAACATTGTTAAAACTTCATATGTGAAGACTAGAGTACACTTCTCTGTCATTCTGATAACAATTTTACTTTTGTTAAAGATATCAATTCACCATCTGAATTTTGTTTAAATTTGTGATTTTAATTATACCATAAATGATATTTTAAAAATATTTATATTCCTTTTGTATCAATTTCATACTGCAATGTTTTATATGATTTTATAAATTCACAAGTTATATTTTTATTAAAAACTTGTAAGCAAACCTGCATGTCAGCTACTCTAAACATCATAATCTATTGTATATGCAAACTACTTGAAGATGTTGCTTATCTTAAAAGTTATAAGAACTATATATATATATATATATACAGTTCTTATAACTTTATAAATTAATAACTTATAAATATATATATATATTATTTATTTGTGTGAGTTATAATTCATTAAAATTATTATAAATATTTGTTATTAATTGTTATTAATGTTATTCTTATTAATTGTATCTATTATGTATATTTCATAATTTGCACTCTTACTTTCTTGAGCAGATAAAAATGCTTCTCTTGCTTTTTGTCTTTCAACTGCAGCAACATTAACAGTAAAACTTATTCGTCCTTCCTCACCTTCATCTTCATCACTACGATCATTATCATCATCTCTGTAAAAATAATAATGCATGTAAATATAATAAATATTTTTAAAATCAGGCATGTAATTGAAAAAAAACTTTTAATGAAAAGCAATCTTGTTTAATATATATATATATATATACCCAACAGTAAACATCATATTTTGTACTTTCTTTTTTCAACTACAAATTTGATATGATCCAAATTATTTTGATTTGAATTCAGGCAATCACAATGTTAATATTTTATGTTTAAAAAAAGTTCTAATTATTGGAAACTCTAACTTCTTTGATTGTTTTTTTATTTATTCAGCTCACCTTGTTAATATTTTGCCTGAAAAAATATTAGCAAGAGCTTAGTACTGCTAAGATAATAAAATAACCATTAAAGGGTAAAAAAAATTCACAAAGCTATTGTATAACATCTACTTGTTAAAAGTGGTTGGTTTTTGGTGATAATTTTCTTCTTAAATTTAAATTAAATTTTTAGTTTATTTGAGCTTTCTTCTGACTATTCAATGTTAAGCACTAAATAATATTATGTACTATTCGATGTATATACTATTCAATGCAAATGCTCATAGATAATCTATTTCCTGAAACAAAATGATTTATACTGCTAATTCAAGATAAAATTATTTTTATTAACCTATTTGATGTTGAAATTTTTATTAGTTGCCTGTGACGCCATGTTGAATTTTTATCGATGTTAAGCCTAAAATTTTTTTAAAATAATAATTGTGTTTACTGTATCGTAAAAATTTATTTTTTTATGTTGCACAAACAAAATAAATATATTAAATAATATAGAAACAAAAAAAATTATATTTTAAGTTTGTTTTAATATAAAAATTGTGAAGCATAGTGACATCTAGTATCAAAAACGTCCCGGTGTAAACATGAAAATTTTCAGGATCGCCCATGCAGATCAATGANTGTCAACTTTCACTCCTTCTGATGATTTCTTGCATTGTTTCAATTGAAATCACCTTTCTGTTTTTTTAGAAGCCGTGATTTGCACAACACTTGAATAAATGTAAATACCCTGCACTGAGGTGATGTACGTAATAAACAAGGGAGCAAGCCAAATCCCAACGGGAGCTCTGTACTTCAGATATACTAATAATATATTCTAATAACCCTAATATATTATAAAAATAGCAGATTGTCATTGGCAACGGCAAAAGAGTGAAAATATCATTCACACTTGTTCGCAGAAAGTTTGTTGTTCGCCTCACGTAACTGCCAAACGGAAAGTCTGTTGTTCGAGTCACGTAACGGCCAAACTAAAAGTCCGTTGTTTGCAGTGTCCGTTATTCGAGGCCTACGTTATACGAAGCACCACTGTATTATTGACAATTCTCAAGTTTCAGAAGATTTAAAATAAATACAACTTCACCATAAATGACCAAGAATTTAGGTGTAATTTGTGAAGATTTAAAATATGTCACTATTTTTAAATATATATATATAAAATATCTTCAATTCTTCTCACCTGAGTCATGCTCACACCTTTACGAATCTGTTCACGTTCCCAGCGTTCAAGTTCATCTGCTTCTTCATTTTCCATTTCATTTTCTTCTCCTTTATTGTATGTGATAAAAATAGTCAAATTAATAATTCAAGTTATGTTTTGTCACTAACAATCTACCCAATTTAAAGGTTTGTTTTTTAAATAATAATTTTCATGTTTTATTCAAAATTAAACATTACCACGTATTCGATCTTGTTTAATATATATATATATATATACCCAACAGTAAACATCATATTTTGTACTTTCTTTTTTCAACTACAAATTTGATATGATCCAAATTATTTTGATTTGAATTCAGGCAATCACAATGTTAATATTTTATGTTTAAAAAAAGTTCTAATTATTGGAAACTCTAACTTCTTTGATTGTTTTTTTATTTATTCAGCTCACCTTGTTAATATTTTGCCTGAAAAAATATTAGCAAGAGCTTAGTACTGCTAAGATAATAAAATAACCATTAAAGGGTAAAAAAAATTCACAAAGCTATTGTATAACATCTACTTGTTAAAAGTGGTTGGTTTTTGGTGATAATTTTCTTCTTAAATTTAAATTAAATTTTTAGTTTATTTGAGCTTTCTTCTGACTATTCAATGTTAAGCACTAAATAATATTATGTACTATTCGATGTATATACTATTCAATGCAAATGCTCATAGATAATCTATTTCCTGAAACAAAATGATTTATACTGCTAATTCAAGATAAAATTATTTTTATTAACCTATTTGATGTTGAAATTTTTATTAGTTGCCTGTGACGCCATGTTGAATTTTTATCGATGTTAAGCCTAAAATTTTTTTTAAATAATAATTGTGTTTACTGTATCGTTAAAAATTATTTTTTTATGTTGCACAAACAAAATAAATATATTAAATAATATAGAAACAAAAAAAATTATATTTTAAGTTTGTTTTAATATAAAAATTGTGAAGCATAGTGACATCTAGTATCAAAAACGTCCCGGTGTAAACATGAAAATTTTCAGGATCGCCCATGCAGATCAATGAGGTCAACATGAATATTTTCGGGAACAGCATAAAACAGGTTAATGAAAATGCAGATGATGTTATATAACAAATGATATAATATAGCATATCACATCAAACTGAATATTCACTGTTCGAAAATAGCATAGCAACGATCATATAACAGAAATTGTTCAGCAAATTGTTCCTCCCTGCAAGGGAAGGTTAAGGATTACCCTGAAAAACTCGGTTTCTACTGTAATATTTTAGATGCAGTTTTTGTGTTTTTGCAGGAAATCAAACATACTTTTAGACCCATCTAAAAATTCTCTAGTTAGTCTCGGAAGAGGGGGACCAATTCTTGTACCCAGTGAAAACAGGTAAGATCAGCTATAATCTAAATATTAATCTTTGCTATCATTACTTTTTGCCCAAGTAATTTATAGCCAATCTAAATTTAAAATTCACTAAATATGCAGAATGACAGAAATTATTTCAAACATTGTTATTGGTGTCTCTAAAGTCCTACATTAATTCTATTGTTATCAGACTTATTTAGAACAACATTGTTCTAAATAAGCCTGATATTAAAAATTATAATTTTAAACATTTACAACACTGATGAAAATCTAAAATTAGACATAATTCTTCTTATAACAATTGAGATATCTCTCAAAGCATATTAATAAAATTTACCTAATCAATCTTGACTTTGTTTCTTGAACTCTTTTTGTATCATCAAGAGCAACAAAATCACCCATTTCTCTGGCCATTTGTCTATGTTTTTTTACAGCATATATTGTTGCAGCATCAGGTATAACACCACCTATATCAGAAAATACAAAAATCAGGCAATCAAAATTTTAATTATTGATAATTCTGTTTATTTCTATAGTTTACGAGGGCTGTTCGGAAAGTTCGCGGCCTCACATAGAAAAACAAACAAAATAATGTTAAAACTTTTTTTATTTTTCAATGTAATCTCCTCTGTTAGCAATGCACTTATTCCAGCGATGTTCTAGCTTTTTTTATGCCATCACAATAGGTCGATTTGTCAAGGTGTGCAAAATACTCGTTCACTTCAGAGATGACTTCGTCATTTGAGTGGAATCTCTTTCCAGCCAAGAATTTTTTTAGGTTTGGAAAAAGGTGGAAGTCACTGGGGGCCAAATCAGGTGAGTACGGTGGATGTGGAACTAATTGGAAGCGAAGTTCGTTTATCTTTTGTTCAGTGATTCTGGCGGAATGTGCAGGTGCATTATCGTGGTGGAACAGAACTTTTTTCTTCTTCAAGTGTGGCCTCTTTTCTTCGATTTCTTTCTTCAGTTTTTCCAAAAGTTCACAGTAATAGACAGCATTAATGGTCTTTCCTCTTTCTAGGTAGTCAATAAAGATGATGCCTTTAGCATCCCAAAAAACCGAGGCCATCACTTTACCCGCTGATGGAACTGTCTTTGCCTTCTTTGGTGGTGGCGAACTGTGGTGTTTCCATTGCTTCGACTGTTCTTTTGTTTCAGGAGTGTAGTAATGGATCCACGTTTCGTCAGTAGTCACAAACCGACGCAAGAAATCCTGTGGGTTTTTCTGGTAGAAGTCCAAACACTCCTTTGACATCAAAGTGCGAACACGTTTTTGCTCGGCGGTCAGCAGATGCGGCACCCACCTTGCTGAGACCTTCGTCATACCCAAATCTTCGGTTAGGATGTGGTGCACTCGGTCGACAGAGATGCCTGTTGTCTCAGCTATCTCACGCGTTTTCAAACGGCGATCTGCTAATACCAAATCGTGAACTTTGTCGATGTTTTCTTCAGTGACAGCAGTTGACGGCCGTCCGCTGCGAGGGTCATCTTCCACACTTTCTCTGCCAGATTTAAAAAGGGCTGTCCATTTTTTCACAGTGGTGTACGAAGGAGCAGACTCTCCTAAAACTTCATCCATGTCAGCTTTGATTTGAGATGGAGTCAACCCTTTTTTCGTCAGGTATTTTATGACCGCACAAGTCTCCGTCTTCTCCATTTTTGACAAAGCATGTGCACACTGACTATCTGCTAAGCTGTCGTGGCAAAACTTTTTGACAAATCAAGCGGAAATTGGTATCGTATCTTTAGCAAAGATGGCTGAATTATTCCCGCCAAAAATTAAATTGATCGCAGCGCCGCATATAGGCAAGGCCGCGAACTTTCCGAACAGCCCTCATATTATTATAATGTTTTAAATAAATTTTCAAATAAAGAAAATGCAACTTATTGTAACATTAATTTATTGAAATTAAAAACATTTTCAGTGATTCAATTTCCTCACTTGCTTTATTTAACTGAAAAGCAAAACTCTAAAAATGATTTTCTCTGTTCTTAAAATTCTATAGTTTGATAAAAACAAATAATTAAAACTGAATTCTTGAATATGTTCTGGTTTTAATTTGATTATTTTAATCTGATCTAATTAAGGTTTGAAATCGCTACTTATGGGAATAATATCAATCATTCAATCATCCAATCAATCAATCTTTATTATTTGATATTACAAATGTTATTACAAAGGGGATTAAATATCATTATTAGTTCAAATTTGATACATAAACAAGAAGTTTAAATAATCTATATAATGTTAATATGGCAAAACTGTCACCAAATAAAATTTGATAACAAAATCAGATGGTAGTGTAGCAACTTGGATATCCAAAATAATATCATAAGAATCAAGAAGGAGTTTCTCATATCCATTACTGTCATTATGGACATAATATTGAATTACAATCAAAATCAACTTTTAAACTTTTTAAATAATAATTTTCATGTTTTATTCAAAATTAAACATTACCACGTATTTGATCATACATGGTAAGTTTTCAATGACGTTGTTCTATTTATTTATTATTTATAATATTTAAATTATTAGATCCATAATGATATTAACATAAATAATGATTTGAATAAGACTTTTTTTATTCATACTAATGATGAAAATTTGTATATACAATGTCTTCAAAATATTGTAAAATGTCATTGTTGACTTGTATTTCAATTTTTTGATGACTTCAAAATAAAACAAAATTATCAAAGCCTCTTAATATGTGGAGTCTTATTCTATAAACATTATTTAGTTCATTAAAATTAAATTTAAATAAATAATTATTTCAACTTTTGTATTAAATAATTTTTTTCTATCAAATTTGAACTTAATAGTTCTCATAATCTGAATTGATTCAAGAAATTTAAATCAGTTCACTGCAACCAAAGAAAAACTCAATTAAAACTCTGATCAATTTAAAAACAGACCTAATTTGATGAAATCCCTTTTCACTATCTTAATCTCTCTTCTTATTTTACATCTCTATGAACAATATTATATTAAAAAAGTACATCATATAATCAATGTACATTGATATCTTCCACATTATTTATTATTCATTTCCATGTAAATCAATCTCTACATATTTTCATAATTTTTTACATATTGATGTTCCATTATTTTGTACATAAAACATTTTACCAAAGACATAATAAATGAAAATATAATTAAAAACTTTTTAAATATGAATTTCTTAAATAAGTTCTTAATCTAAATATTCATATTCTATTATTGTTTATAGCCTCAAGTAATGGTTTTTTTTCATAATATGCCATTCTTAATAAAACTGTAGTAATTCATTCTTCTTATATATATTCTCTGAACAATCTTAAGTTTGACTTATTATTAAATTATCTTATTCTAATATCCTTAAAAATTTAATACTTTATGATTGGGATATTGTTTTTATCAATAATGAGACAAATCTCTTCCAACATAACTTTCTCATAATCCATAAGTTAATATATTAATTTTAAAATATTTTAGTCGAAATAATTTTATTTGTCATCTTTTCATACGTCATCTCCAATCTTCCAACAATTTCATATTATAAAAATTATCCTTATATTTATAGTAAACGAAGAATCAGTATCTTATGTACTTTATGTACTTTAACAATCTTTATGTATCTTTATGTACTTTAACAATATCCATTATTAATATGATTTTAGATTTATATCTCTAATGTACTGTACATATTCTCTTCTGTTTATCCTAATGCAATATTTCTCAGTGTGGTCCATAGTCCAGCTATCAGTTCCAAGAAAACTTAAGAATTACAATATAAAACAGCAACAAATGCAATAAATTTGTAATAAAATAAATATGTTTTTAAAAATTTTATTATTATTACTCGATTAAAATATCTCGTTATATAATATTATACAACAATCAAGAATATGGCAAGATACTGCTTATGATGAGAATTGTCATACATGTACAATTTGTTTATATATTTAAAACAGTCTTGAGAAAACTTGCTGGAAACTATCAATCCCTAGTTGGAAAAGACTTTTCTAATATTTTATACTGACTTACGAGCTCCTATGGAATGAGATTAAAGGTAAAATTATAAAATAGTTCCTAACAAAAACTTGCTTTCAAAGCAATTTGCATTAAATTATTCTTTTCTATTTCAATTTTGATTTATCATCATCTGTAAAATTATGAAAACAACAATATCCATTATTAATATGATTTTAGATTTATATCTCTAAACAAACTTTTTTAAACTTTCTACATTATGAAACATTAAAGAAAATGTTTTTCTTTATACTGTATGATTTTTAGTTATTTATTTAAACTTTCTAATAAATTATTTTATATATGTTGTTAAAATTTTTTAATTTATCTTGTCTTAAAAACATTAAGCTATGTCATAACTACGTATATAAATTTTAATTAAAATATTTTAAGAAGGTTTTCTTAAAAATATTTAGATACAATATTTTGATAATTATAATTATAATATTTTGATAACTATAATTAAGCTAACTAAATTATGTTTTTAATATATATTTTGTTTTATATATTTTCATTTAAAAAATTATTTATATTTGTAATTAATAATGCAAATTTAAATAAGAATCAATTAAAAATTTCACTATTTTTAATATTAAATTATTTAATTTCAAAATCATTAATTTTATCTTACTTTTTAGAACATTTTTGAAAGGATGGAATAGCTTATTTTTTTCATTGTCTTCATTCTCTGAATCTATTTCCATATCTTCAGCATCTTCACCATTTAATATATCCATAGAATCCTAAAAAACAATACATATAATAAAATAAATGTTTTCTTTTCGTACAATCAATCATAGACAACAAAATTGCATATAAATAATATTTTAAGCTTGATATACAATAATTTACTAGTTAATACAATTCTCAACACTGCCACAACACTGTAATAATACAACTTCTCTAATTAGAAATATTAAAGAAAAGTATTACTAATGAACATAAAACTATATGTATATTAAAAAAATTCAAATGGTAAATGTACAGTACATCAGAATATTACATTCAAAATACAATAAAAGACGCTAAATGTTTTTAGAAGATTTTCTTTTCATTCTTTTTTGTAATAATTAAATGATTATATCATTAAAATAATTAAATTTTAAACTAATTTAGCATTTAAAATCTTTGACTTTCCATCAGACATCAAGTATTTAATTCATATCTTCTTACATAGTTTAGATGAATTGATACAATAAATCAGTAGTGTCCAAACTTTTCAATCAATGGGAAAATTGCACATAACTCATAGGCAAGCAGACTACAAGTATTTTAATATAGCCCAAATATATAAAAAATAAGTGTCTCATCTAATGTATGTATGTCACTTTATGTAAAAATGATATGAAACATTCCTCTCCTGAACTTGAAACATCAAGAATTATTTGATTCAAATAATTCAAATATAAGAATTATTTTGATATCGAAGTTTATTTGTTTTAAAACGCATGCGTACCAATTTTAAATATTTTAAAATGTTTTTAGTTCTAAAATTTAAATCTTATTTATAATAGTTATATTCAAAAAACGGCTAATATCCTTAATGTTTAAATTTAAATGTATGGTTCGAATTCTCTATTCGTTTTTGAATTGCCTGAAGACGACGTGCGTATTTANTACACGAGAATCGAACCTGGGAACTCAAGCGTATGAGACAGGAACGTTACCACTCAGCCATGGGACACTCAAATGGAAGAACGTATAATTTTTATATAAAGTGCTAAAGAAACTTTAAGTTCGTTTTTCTCGATTATATTTGAGTATTGCACTTTAGTATTCTACAGATAGTACACTCACATGGTGTACTACCTCTACACCACAGATCATCAAAATCCGTTTCCCCAAAGCCGTAGGGCAGTGTTTCTCAACGGGGCGATATCGCCCCATGTGGGCGTTTTTTCATGTTGAGGGGAGTTATTATATAATTTATAAAAACCTAATTTTTTAAAAATTATTTGACTGATGCTTAAAATATCTTTGCACACTAGAGTAAACTATGTAGAGGGCCGGATATGACACTACACATTATAAAGTTTTGGCACTGACCATACATGATAAATAGGTGACATTATAGAAAAACAAACCAATAATTGACTTATTAATATATTCACATTAATATATCAGCTTATTGATAGGTTCCAATTCAAAAATGAGTGCAATATCACTATTAGATTCAAAAGATTTGTAACATATTGAATAGTAATTTACAGGGTGATCCAAAGGTTTCAGACCCTTCATTATTTGAGAATCATCATCTTTTGTTTGGACAACTCTATATTTTAACTGTGCACAAACTTCCAAATGATATTGAGCCAATTTTAACAGAATTTTATATGTATGCATAGTGTTAGCACTCTATAAACAAATTACTGTTTCTCCACGTAGCTGGTTGGTCTTTTCTGGATAAAACTACTGAAAAAGAAGAAAAATAATCATGCATTTCTTAAGTTTTATTTTTCTGTAGCTCTGTAACAAAGCCATATTAAAAAAAAAAGAAAGGAGTATCTGCTAATTTTGGTTGCTGTTTCTAGGGTTTCTTAAAAGTAATGGTTTCAGCAAAATATTTAACAAATTAAAATTCAAAATTTGCACCAACAAAAAATTCAGTATTGCCAAAATAATAGAAAAATAGAATGTAGGAAATTATGTTGTACAGAGGTGGATAAGACAAAAGGATGACATACAGGACAAGAAAAGTATGAGAAAACTACAAAAATTTTTACCATATCCAAAAATAAGATCCTACAAATGATGAAAGATAAAGACAATTGTGTGTAGTCCATTGTATATAAGTTCAACTTTTATACAATGGTGCACAAACTTTTTCTTGTTCTTTTCTCCTGTTTTTATCTATTTTATATATATATATTAATTTTATTGATTGAATTATTAATTGAATTAGTGATATCTATCTATAAAACTTATTATCCTGATTACTTGACAAAAGGGAAAAACAGTTGGTGTCATGACAGTCAGATGCTACATCACACCAATATCATGAGAATGTATTGCCTACAAACCAAACATCAAACCATTACTAACAAGGAGATCCTACGGCTTTGAGGAAACAGATTTTGATGATCTTTGGTGTAGAGGTAGTACACTCACATGGTGTACTACTCTACTAAAGTGCAATACTCAAATATAATCAAGAAAAACGAACTTAAAGTTTTTTTAGCACTTTATATATAAATTATATGTTCCTCCATTTGAGTGTCCCGTGGCTGAGTGGTAACGTTCCTGACTCATATGCTTGAGTTCCCAGGTTCGATTCTCATGTATACTTTTTTTTTTTTAATTCATAAATACTTATAATGTACAGTATAGCATCGATTATCCAACTCAATTGGGGACTCGGGTTGGTCGAATAACTGAAAAAATCGGATAACTGAAAAAATCGGATAACTGAAAAGAATGAAAAAAAATACATTATTTGTATAGTATATTAGTATATCCCATGTAATTAGTATATCACTCTTAACCTACTTCGTGTTGAATTTTCATCGATGTTAAGCATAACAATTTTTTTTTTTAAATAATAATCGTCACTATTGTATCGTTAAAAATTATTTTTAAATTATTTTATTGCTCACAAAACAAACAACCACTGATAATTAGAAAATTAAGTCTCGTTTAAATACTGGCCTCCCTTTCATGGTCAAGCTAGTGTTGCCAGCTAAAACACACAAAAATTTAACAAAAATAATATTAAAGTAGCCAAGACATACCCAAATATTGTAGCGCCACATCACTAGCAGACATTTGAAATTTGCCGACTAGAACGGTCGGTTAACTGATGTGACGGTTAATTGGGGGTCGGATAATCAATGCTCTACTGTATTTATTTATTTACTCATTCATTTATTTTAATTTAATTTCTACTATTCCAAGTCTAATATTTTTTTACTTTTGTTGACAATAACAGTGCATTCTTGACACCTATGTGTCAACTTTCCCATCTAATTGTTATCACTAACGTTGACCGATCTAATTCTCACTAGGAGCGTTTTTTCTATTGGAGTTCTTTTTCACTCACTCTTTAACAGTTTGTTTCTGAATTTCGACACGAATAGACGTATTTGTGCAGTGAAATTTATTTTGAATAATTATTTTATAATTAAAAAAATGTCATCAAGAGAAGCAAGTTCTTCACATTGTGACGAAAAAACTGTTAATGATAACTCTTTATACAGTGAGGTATCGAAGCAGCGGCTAAAAGATGTAGTAGTGTATTATGAGTTTACTTTTCGAAAATAATTTAATTGCGATAACATCTTCTGATACACTATCTGATAATGCTATGTTGATAGGCACAGAATTATACAATAATACATTGAATGTGTTGAATGAAAAAAATTTATAAATGTTGCAATTAAATTCAACGCGAAGTAGGTTAAGAGTGATATACTAATATACTAATTACATGGGATATACTAATATACTATACAAATAATGTATTTTTTTCATTCTTTTCAGTTATCCGACCAACCCGAGTCCCCAATTGAGTTGGATAATCGATACTCTACTACATTATAAGTATTTATGAATTAAAAAAAAAGTATACACGAGAATCGAACCTGGGAACTCAAGCGTATGAGACAGGAACGTTACCACTCAGCCATGGGACACTCAAATGGAAGAACGTATAATTTTTATATAAAGTGCTAAAGAAACTTTAAGTTCGTTTTTCTCGATTATATTTGAGTATTGCACTTTAGTATTCTACAGATAGTACACTCACATGGTGTACTACCTCTACACCACAGATCATCAAAATCCGTTTCCCCAAAGCCGTAGGGCAGTGTTTCTCAACGGGGCGATATCGCCCCATGTGGGCGTTTTTTCATGTTGAGGGGGCGATTTGTAACAATTTATATTTTGGGGAGGAAAAAAACAGTTTTCTGGGAGATATAGTAAAACATTATATTAAGAATAATTACATATTTTATTCGTTATATCGTACAATAATTAAACAAATAACATTATACTAGTCACAAGTCTATTTGATGCAGTACGAATTTGGCATTAGCCTTCACCCTCGGCATCGAAATTTTGAAGTGAAGGGGGCAATACTACGTAATGGTTTTATTGAAGGTGCAATACTACATTGAAGGGGGGGCGACGATTCGTTAGAGGTTGAGAAACACTGCCGTAGGGTCTCCTTGTAAGTAAGAAAAATATTGCTGATAGCGTAGCAATTTGCATTAGATTAAAAAAAAAAGAAGTATGCTGAAGTTATTCTTAAAAGTCTGCAATGACCATTTACTTTTTACAAATGAAAGTCAAATATCTATCATCAAACCTTATCTAAAGCTTAATGCAAAACATGAGAATTTGCACTGCATCTCCAAATGTCCTAATTTTCCATAAAGACCATGGTAGCTGAGGAATTTCCCAATATGGCAAGACAGAATTGCATATTGTGTAAAAAAACCAGATTGTGAATGGTGACTACTACCAAAATGCCATTTTGTCTTTGTATCACGCATCACTAAAGAACATATATCAGTTCTCAAAGCAGCTGAAAAATATTTATTTTAGAAACATTTTTGGCTTTTTTGAAGCCATCCTCAATTATTGCCTTTCAACAATGTCTTCAAGAAAGCCAAAAGCATGTCTGAAATAAATATTTTTCAGTTTCCTTAAGTAAACAGTATATTCATAGTTGAGATGTTTATGATACTGAGTTTAATGGAATTTGCAGGTAAATGGTAAGAATAATTTGAAAGTATAACAACTTGAG